TAATCAAGGAAGACAACATTAGATTGTTAAAGTTATAAAAGTAGTACTGTTTTAATGTAAGTGTACATAGTACAAATAGTAGTACAATATAAATATCAGTAATCAAGATTGAAAACTAAAATGAGCTATGCACAAAATAATTCTAGTCTTTTGTCTTCTGAAAAGAAATACAATTCATGAATTTTGTGTTTATGAATAAAGTTTTTTGTAACAACAACAAAAAAAATTCCATGTTCCCATCAAGTCAAATCAATGAACAGAAATAAAAGGAAAAAATTGGATGTGGTGGGGCACCCCAACAATCCCAGCACTCTGGAGACTGAGGCAGGAGGGTTACCATTCATGCCATGTCATGAGTTTGAAGCCTGTCTGGGCTACGTAAGTGAGTTTAAGGCCAGCCTGCACTGCATAGCGAGACACTGTCTCAATAACCAAAACAAAACAGCAAAAAAATTAATGAATAAAGGGGCTAAGAATGGAGCCAGAAAGAAAAGAGAAGATGAAGGAAGAAGATAGTGGAGGTGGAAGATGATGGTCTTGGAGGTACTAATGCTGACCTTACTCAGCTTCTGTGTGGATACTGACTGGTTCTGCTTCTAGTTAACTGGAGCACAACCTACATCCCGAGGACTAAGACACTTGCCACCAGCAGGAGTGCCAGGTCACCAGTCAGGAGCTGCAGTTCCCCATCCAAGCATCTCAGCGAGGAAGCCCCCTAGGTCATCACGATTTGATGACCACATTGTGACAGATGTCCTTGGTGTTGAGGCAGCGCCTCACTGATGAGAGCAGGGTCCACGTCCCAAAAGTCTGAGCGTGGAGGCCATTCCCAAGGTTTGGCTTGCTGGTATAGAGCTTTTAGTAGAGAAAGGAGAGGTCTCTGAAGCTTGAGAGCGTGTTGCCCATGGCTGTGATGGACATAGTGGCCAGCCAGCTTTGTGGCTTGTGATGCGCCAAGCCTGAAAGGGCATTTAGCCTGTAGACAGGACTCTCAGCAGTAAATGAGTGCGCCCAGGACAGCTGCAGCCTGGATCTAAATTTAATTTTAAACATACTCTGTGGTGCGTAAAACTGGGCTGTGGCCAATGAGAAATACAGAACGTGGTAAAAAAGCAACAAGAGGGAAGAAGTCCCCTATAGTGAAGAGAGGAATTTATAAAATTGTTAGCATGAATTAAGTTTTTAATGCTTAGAATTCTGTTTTGTTTTAGAAAAAGAAACATTTAAAAACCCCAACAAAATAGATTTTTTTTTTTTTTTTTTTTTTTTTTTTTTTTTTTTTTTAATGTAGACTATGGATCCTTATACACCAGAATCGACTCCTAGACAAAGTGCAACTTCAGGTCTTAAAGATTACTTTCTAGGCGCCACCCCATTGCAGAAACGACTGGAATCTGTCAGGAAGCAGATCTCCACTCTCCCAACCCCACCTCGAAGAAAAATTCCTCAGTGTTCACAGTTGCAGGTATGCTTGTGTTTCTTCCGTTTAGCCAACAGTGAGACCAGCTCAACAAAGCACTTCAGTTTCCGTTACTGTTCATGGATATTTTAACTTCTCAGCAGATTGAGCAAAAGATAGTTTTATACCATCAGCAGTACATATTTAATATCTTTTAATTTTCTTTAATCTAGATCATTTCTATATTATGTCTTTTTTTTTAAACATTGACAGTTTTGAAGAATATGTTTTTCTCCTTTTCCTTACTTTTAAAGACATTTTTAAAAATTTTATTATTTTTTAATGTATTTGGTACAGGGTCTCACTTCATAGCTCAGACTCATAGTGATCGTCCTATTTTTGGTCTCCCAGCACTGGAATTATAGGCAAGCACCACTTGGTGGCTGGCTCAGTGCGCCCGGGGCAGGGGCCAGTGTGGCATGTGGTGACAAGGATTAAACCCTGGTCCCTGCACTTGCCTAAGCTGGTGCTTAGTCTGCTGAGCTATCTTACTAGCCCTACTTATTTATTTAATCCTTTTTTTACTAGCACATGTTTGCAGTAGATGCATTTTACAGTCATCTGGGGTGTGGGGAGATGCACACAATACAGCTTCTTTTTAGTCCTTATCCCCATTACTCCTTCTTCCTCCTGTAACTCCCCTCTCCTCATTTTCATTCTTACTGACATTATTCATCTTAGCCCAACTTTATGGCACAGTGTTTACATTCATTGAGGTTGTCAGGCTCTGCTATGTGGCTTATCTTTATTCTACTAATTTTCCCCTTCGCCTTTTCTTGAACCCCTTCCCATTTCCAAGAGATCCATCCCGTCTTCTATCCATTTTCTGTTCATCTCTTTGTATTTTGTCTTACTCAAATAAGAGATACAGTATTTAAGCTTGTGTGTCTGATTTATTTCACTCAACATTATATTTTCCAGGGGCATCCATTTTCTAACTATCTCAAATTTGTCCTTTACAGTCAAATAGTATTCTATTACATACAGGTAGAGGTTTTCTTTATCCAGTTGTCTGTTGGCTGTACAGTCTGCTTCCATTATTTAGCCAATATTTATTGTGCTGTTATAAACATTGGTAGGTGTATGTTGCTGTAGGATGCTGTCTTAAACTCATTGGGGAAGATGCCTGGGTGTTCTATTTTGTATTTCTGTGATATTTCCTCATGGTTAAATATGAATTGTGTATTCTTGGTTAGAAGACTACATAGGTTGTTGTGCCTTCTGTTACCTTCATTGTAGCTGTTTTTCCTGGTCATTGTATGCACAATACCATTTGTGATAGGAGACAAATTGCCTCTTTGTGACAGTTTTTTAAATTATTAGTGCTGGGGCTGGAGAGATGGCTCAGTGGTCTAAAGCACCTACTTGGAACAAGCTAAGCTAAGCAAAGCACAGGGACCGCGGTTCGATCCCCCAGCACCACATGCCAGCCAGCCGCGCCCCCTGGTGGGCTGAGCTGGCCACACACACACACACACACATACACACGCACGCACACACACACACACACACACACACAATAAATAAATGTTTAAAAAAATTATTAGTGCTGATAATGAAAATAATAGTTCTTCAGAAACAAAGGGCTTTTTTGTTGTTGTCATCGTTGTTTTCCAGTTGTTTGTTTTGCTTGTTTGAGACAGGGTTTCACTATGTAATTCATTTAGGCTGGGCTTCTGCTCACTGTATAGCTCAGACCAGCCTTAAGCTTGTGGCAGGCCTCCTGCCTCAGCCTCCCAAGTGATGGCATTACAGGCATGCACCACCATGCCTGGCCTTGAAAACAAACTGGTTTTTTGTATATTTTAGGAATCGGACTCATAGTGATCTGCCTGTTTACAGCCTCCCAAGAGCTGGGATTACAGTTGTGCACCACCACACCCAGTCTCAATTGCACTACCACGCCCAGTCTCAATTGCTGTTTCAGCATGCCTTGGGGGGAAGAGGGGTGGCACAGCAGGCCCAGGGATCGAACCCCTGGCCCCTGTGCCTGCTTGCAGGTGCTTTAGTCTGCTGAGCTATTTGGCCAGCCTCAAAAACATATTTTATATAAAGATTGGAATGTCTAATTCAATATTTCCTTATCCTTATAAGTTTGCCATATGTTTTGATATATTTATTTTTTCTCTTTTTGAGACCCGGTCTCACTATGCAGCTCAGGCTGGCCTTGCACTCACTTTGTAGCCCATGCTTGTCTTGAACTCACAATGATCCTCCTGCCTCAGGCTCCCAATTGCTGAGATTACAGGCATAATTAAAAGAAAAACATGTAACTTATTTCAGTGAAGGCTCTGGTTAGAACATTTTTCTCAGGCAGACAACTGTAATGAAAGTCCAAAAGATAATGGAAGCTGTCAGACTCAGAAAACATGGAGACTAGAAAATGTACCAGGGGAGCTGGGGAGATAGCTCGGCAGTTATGCGCCTGCCTGGCAAGTGCGAGGACCTGGGTTTGATCCCCAGTACTGTGTGCCGTGCTGGCACAGTGAGACCCCGGACCAAATAAATTAAAGGTTTTTTTAAAAAAAGAAAAGAAAATGCACCAGGAAAAGCTAGAGCATTTTTGTTGGTACACGTATGAAACAGTGCAAGGAAGCCAATACAAATAAAATTGTTTTGTTTCTGATGGTGCTAACTGAGCACAGCAAAAAATACTCCCAAGTGTCTTTTTATGTAATCTATTGAATTAGGTACAGTGGATTTGTTGCTTTTTAAAAAACATTTGTGTGGAGGACCAGCGAGATAGCTCAGTGGACTTTGGACCTGCTTAGGCAAGCGCAAGGACCTGGGTTCCCTCGACAGTGCTGCACTGGCCCTGCCCTCAGGTGCGCTGAGCCAGTCTGGGCATGGTGGCACAGACCTGTAACGGGGGAGGCTGAAAACAGGAGGATCACTACGTCCAAGCTGCCCTGTACCAAATACATTTAAAAGAAAAAAAATGTGGCAGTACAGAGCAACATCTCCAACTGTTTTTGTTTTTTTATTTTGAGGTAGCGTCTTATTAAGTTAGCCAGCCTGGGTTTGAATTTGTATCTTGTGTCCTGTTTTGGTCTTCCAAGTAGTTGGCATTCCAGGTGTGTGCGACTGTGCCCAAGGCTGCCAGACTTTTTAAAAAATTACTTAAAGCTAATCATACTAGATACTTAAAGAAGACTTACTATTTTTAAAATCTATAAATTTGGGGAGGGAGAGTCCTGGGAATCAAACTCAGGACCTTGCCCTTGCCAGACAGGCTCTGTGCTTTTGAGCTGTATCCCCACCCCTTATTCAAGGCTCTGGAGAAAGTCCTGCAAACTCCATTGTGAAATGATCTTTGCAGTGTAAAGATTAGATAATAGTAACAGATTTGTATTAGATGTTTAAAACACTATTGTCAGTTCTTACTAATTTTTTTCTTTCAATTTTTTTGTTTTGTTTTTGTTATTTTTTTCTTCATTATTATTATTATTATTTTTTTTTTTTTTCAGGGTTTTAGGGGGAGGAAACTGGGAATTGATCTTAAGACCCTGAGCTTGCCAAGCAGGTTGCCATGCCACTGTGCTATATCCCTGGCCCCTTCATTCATTATTTTATCTTTTATTTTGTTTCTTAATTCTATTTTTTCTTTTTTTTAGGAAGATGTTGATCCTCAAAAGGTTGCGTTCCTTCTGCATAAACAGTGGACTTTATATAGCTTAACTCCCCTGTATAAGTTCTCCTATACAAATCTCAAAGAGTATTCAAGACTTCTGAGTGCATTTATTGCTGCTGAAAAGCAAAAAGGACTTGCTGTGGAAGTGGGAGAAGATTTCAACATCAAAGTGATTTTTTCTACTCTCGTCGGAATGAAAGGAACACAGAGGGATCCGGAAGCATTTCTTGTTCAGGTAGTGCATACAAGTAATACTTCCTTCCTGGAAAAAGGATCTCCATTTTCTTGCTTTTGAAATTGTGGTATATTCTTTTCTTTTCTTTTTGAGACAGGGTCTCACTATGCAGTTCAGACTGTCCTTGAGCTCACTTTGTAGCTCCCAGGCTTGTCTGAACTTGGAGTGATCCTCCTGTCTCAACCTCCTGAGTGCTGGGATTGCAGGGGTGTGCCCTGCCACACCCCATTCTGTTGTAATATTTTCTTACTAGTATTTTGGGTTTTTTTCTTCTTCTTTTTTCTTTTTGTGGTAGTAGGGATCAAACTCAGGACCTTGCACTTGCCAGTCAGGCACTTATCTTGCTGAGCTATGTCCCCAGCCCCTCTTACTAGTTTTTAAATTTCTAAATTCATGATTTTGAACTTATTTCATGTCTTATTTGACCAAGTGATAATAATTGGATATGACTTAAATTTATTTCTATATGTATAGGAAATAGTGTGTCTCTGAGTGTGTGTGTATGTGTTTGTGTGTGTGTAAAATTATCTTGATTTTAAGAAACTTAGAAAATACATAAAAAGCAAAGAAAGTTAAAAATCACAGTTAGAAAAAAAATCGCAGTTACAATTTTGGTATGCATCTGTTTAGCTATCAGAATCTATAGTCTTGGGGCTGGAGAGATGGCTCAGTGGTCTAAAGCACCTACTTGAAACAAGCTTGGCAAAGCACAGGGACCGCGGTTCGATCCCCAGCACCACATGCCAGCCAGCCCCGCCCCCTGGTGGGCTGAGCTGGCCACACACACACACACACAATAAATAAATGTAATAAATAAAAATAAATAAATATTTAAAAAAAAAAAAGAATCTATAGTCTTGAAATGGGGAATCATATTGAATTACTCACTTGTTGATACATCTATAGTTTTATGCTCTTGAGTTTAATTTGTAGAAGCAGACATTTAGTTAAAAAGGAAAAAAAAAGTAAGTATCATTTTTTTTAAATCTCAAAACTGTTTTTCTTAGTTCTCCAGGCTGGGTCTTGAACTGCAATTTTCTACCGCAGCTTCCCAAGTACCTGGGATTACAAGGGTGTATACCGTGTCTGCTTAAATTAACTAATTTTAATTGTTAATAAGGAAATTAAGTTCTGAAGTGGTTGAAAAGACTAGATTTTTTGTTTGTTTGGTTTGTTGGTTTGTATAAATCAAGGCTTAATCGGGCATGGTGGTGCGTGCCTGTAGGAGGATCAATGAGTCTGAGGTCAGCCTGGGCTGCAAAATGAGTACACAGCAAATTATGGTCTGTAGATCAAATCTGATCCCCTCCTTGTTTTAGTCAATAAGGTTTTGTTGGAACATAGCTTATTTTGTTTGCTTGTGCTTTATCAATTGCTGCTTTTAGCCTACAACAGCAGAATTAAATAGGAGCAACAGAACATATGGCCTGCAGAGCTCAAAATACTTTCTGGTCTTTTACAGGAAAGTTTGCCTACTTCAGGGATGTGCTGCAGCATTGGTAAAGATTTCAGGGTGTTCTAGGATTAGGTTCCACTGTATATATTAGAAAGCCTAAATGATAGAGATTTACCCTGAACTGTCCAAGGCTGGTATGATGCTAACAAAATTATTAATAAGTTGGGCCCCTTCTGTTTTCTCCTCTGAAATCCTTAGTGCATAACCTCCATCCTAAAAGTCACCTACGGTATAGGACAGCCTGTGGAGGTAGAAACTGTTAAAAGTTTCAGGCAGGTAGGACCAGGGAGATGGCTTGGTAGCATAAGTGCTTCCCTGGCAAACGCAAGGGCCTGAGTTCAATCCCCGGTTCCACCAAAAAAAAAAAAAAAAGAAAATTTCAGGCAGTAATAGAAAGAATAGGAAGGACACACTAGGTGCCTGACACAAAGTAGATATTGCTGAAACTCAGCAACTTTTGTTCACATTCTAGTTCGAAGGGAGGTAGGTAGTTTTGAGACAGTGTCTCACCGTCTAGTGCAGCTTTTTGAGCTCACTGTGTGGCCCAGGCTGGCGTGCAACTCACGGTGATCCTGTTGCCTCATCCTCCTGACTGCTAGGATACAGGTGTGTGCCACCATATCTGATTATTTTGCCAGTCTTACATAAAGGGACTGTTTTATTACAGAAGAAATAATGGATAGTGAGTTGAATGTGGTCTTTGTCAAATGAAGCAGCTAATGTCATAGAAGTTTTATGACTTGCATGTCAACAGCCAAGCAGATATTAGGATTAGAAATGATCTTTTCAGACTGGGTGTGGTGATGCACACCTGTAATCTCAGCTACTCAGAAGGATGAGGAAGACAATTGTAAGTTCAAGGCCAGCCCGGGCAATTTAGTGAGACTCTTGAAATAAGACAGAGTAGAGATATAGCTCAATGGTAGAGCATTTGCCTGGCATATAGGAGGCCACAGCTTTACTCTCAGTACTGAAAAAAACAATAAGAAATGACCCTTTGAATTACTGGTACAGTGTTCTAATAGTTTTCAAATTAAATCTCATTTCTTGACACTTAGTTCATAAAACTGTGTAACTTATTTTCTGGGCTTCAGGGCATTTGGGAGTCTCTCACAGTCTTCCTAAATGAGAAAAACAATAAAGGAACCTTTAAATGATCATCTCTAAAGGGCTATGATCTTAATCTTGGTTTGGTCATTACTTTACCAAAAACTTTTATGGATATCTTAAAGGTGTGTTCGTGATGTAGTTTATACATGTAAAGTTGGAAGGCTGAAGTGGCTAGAAGTACCAGGATTCCTAAATGGTCTGAATGATTGGCATAATGGGCCAAAGTGAAAGAACCTAAACGTTACTGGTAGTAGGTTTACCGCTTCAATTTAAGTTCAGAGAAATTTACTTATTAATTAACTTATTAAATTAATAAGAAATTTACTTATTAAATTAACTTATTAACCAAAAATGAGAATATGAAGCTGTCAATAAAAATTAGAAAACTTTAAAAAAAATTAGAAAATTGAGTTCTGAGATTGCATGAATAGAAATGTAATCTAGGTCAGAGATAGTGATAATTTTATATTCCATCTGTGCTGAAGTAATTATGTTCACTCACAAATGACTTCTGTGCATAATGAGCTTGGAGAAAGGTAACTGGGATAGTGAGAAAACCTGAAGGGATGTCTTAGGGAGAATGGCTGAAGCAAGGGAGATGTTGAACTTTGCAGTATGTGTAATGGGGACTGTCAAATATTTGCAGGGTTTTTCTTATAAAAGAAAGATTACATTTGATTTGTTTTACAGACACATAAGGGAGAAAGCAGGACCATTGGTGGAGGTTGTAGGGCCTAATATGTTTGTTTTTCTAATACCAGAGATCAAACTCAGGACCTAGCGCTGCCAAGCAGATGCTTACACTGCTGAGCTATCTCCTTGGCACTATAGGACCTAATATGAAAGAGCATTTTAAGTTGACAAGAAGAGTTCCTGTAGGAAATGTTTCTTCATGAATGGATGCATTCAGGCGTGTTGGATTTGACAACTTTTTATAGTCACTCTTTTTTATTAATCAAGATGTTATACCTCATTATGCCACACAGGCATCTCTTGTTTTGCATTTTAGTTGCACAAAGTTGTTGCCATATACCATATTTCTACTGTGTACAAATGCTGAGAAAAACCTCAGTCATTTTGATAAACCCAAATAATTAGGGAGAGAATCTCCTCTGTGAGTGTTTTTTTTTTTACAAATTAAATGTCAGACTTACTTTTATTGTACTGATTAATTTTATTGTAGTGATATAATTTAGGAATAAGTGTATTTATGAATCCAATGAATCTCTTTTACTTTTCTTCATAGATTCTGTCAAAGTCTCAATTGCCAGCTCAGAACAGAGAAGGTAAAGTGTTATGGACCGGTTGGTTCTGCTGTATATTTGGAGACAGTCTCCTGGAGACTGTTTCGGAAGATTTCACCTGTCTACCATTATTCCTTGCAAATGGAGCAGAGTCTAATACAGCCATAATTGGAACTTGGTTTCAGAAAACCTTTGACTGTTGTTTTAGTCCATTAGCAATCAGTGCATTTAATCTTTCCTGGATGGCTGCTATGTGGACTGCATGTAAAATGGACCATTATTTGGCTACTACTGAGTTTTTCTGGTCTGTGCCTTGTAGCCCTCAGAGTCTGGATATTTCTTATGCAATACATCCAGAGGATGCAAAAGCTTTGTGGGACAGTGTCCACAAGACGCCTGGGGAGGTTACCCAGGAGGAAGTTGACTTATTTATGGACTGCCTCTATTCACATTTCCATAGGCATTTCAAAATTCATTTATCAGCAACAAGACTGGTTCGTGTTTCAACATCTGTAGCTTCTGCTCATACTGATGGAAAAATAAAGGTTAGTTTGAACAAAAACCAGTTAAATAACTTTTTCTTATTGATGCCAGGTTTTCACAACGTGTAGTGATTATGTTCTTCACACTATTGACACACATTTGGACATAGCCAGTTCAAGACAATGGAGAAACCATGACTGTATGCTGTTAGTCGTTAGCCTTTTAGATGCAGTTTGTAATGGAAGGTATACATATCTTGTGCCCTAACAACTTGGGTAACAATATGAATTATTCTGTAGTAAGTTTGAAACTCTCAAAATTATTAAGTTTTGAGCTGGTTGTATTGGCACATGCCTGTAATCCCAGTTCTCCAGAGGCTGATGCAGGAGGATCTCCATGAGTTCAAGGCTAACCTGAGCTATGTAGTGAGTTCAAAGCCAGCCTAACTATAATAGTGAGACTCTCAAAAAAAAAAAAAAAAAAAAAACTAACAAAATTTTAAGTTACATAAGAAAAGCATACATTCAGAAGCACAGAGTAAGGTGTCATCTTTATAGTTTAGGCTTTTTTTATCTTCTCCAGGAGAATAATGGTAGGAGATACTATTTTACTTTCTTTGAAGTACTTATCACAAGTAATGGGCCAGGGAGATGGCTCAGTAGAACAAGCAGTTGCCTGGCAAGCACAAGGGCCTGAGTCCAATCCCTGGTTCCACCAAAATAAAAAAAAAAGAACAATCTCACAAGTAATAGAAATAAAATTGTTTTCTAAAATATGTTTAAATACACAATCACAATATATATTCAGTGTTTCCTATGATCTTATCACCGTGTTAGGAGTTTAATAAACTTAATTCTTTTTTAATTTTAATTTTTAAAAGTTGATACATACACATTTATGGGGCACAGTATAATAATTTGATTCATGTATACAGTGTCTAATGAGCATGACAGTTAACATTTCCATCTCTTCAAACATCCTTGCTATCTGTTGGAGCCTTTAGACTCTTCTAGCTATTTTGAAATACAAATTGTTACAGACTGTAGTTACCCTCCACTAGAACTGATTCCTGTTATCTGACTCTAACTTGGTTCCCATTATATAACATCTCTATCCCCTTTTCTCTTGGTCTGTCCTGGCCTCTGGTAGCTACTAGTCCATTGTCTTTCTTTATGATAATTGGTTTTTATTTTCTTGAGACAGTGTCTCGCTGTGCAGTTCAGGTTGGCCTCAAACTTATGGCAGTCCTCCTTGCTGGGCTTATATGTGTGCACTATCACACCTGCCTGTTGTCCTCCTTTATGAAATGAGACCATACCATAGGTTTGTCTTTCTGTGCCCAGAATGCCTTAACACATTCATGTCAGTGCCATCATTTGTATGTTTTGCTGTTGGGTGGCTCTGAACCACCAGTGCAAGCATGACTGCCCCATTGGGTAGTACAGGCTGCCTAATGGGAGAGTCATGCAGGTACCACCTGTGGTTCAAGCCACCAAAATATTTTTAAAAAAATCTTTTATTTATTTATTTGATACAGGGCCTTGCTGTGCAGCTTGAACTCAGTGATCCTCCTGTCTCAGCCTCCCCAGTGCTGGGATTGCAGGTGTGCACCAGTACACCCAGTTTTGGTGGCCTGCATAACATGTGGTACTGGGGATCGAACCTGAATCCTTGAGCTTGCCAGTAGGCGCTTAGACTACTGAGCTATCTTCCCAGCCCCCACCCCCAGAAACTGTTAATCCTTACAAAAACAGGGAAACAGATCATGTTTAAGTTATAGTGCAAGATAGTAAGGTGTCGAGATTTGAATGCTCACTTTTTAGCCCTCTACAAACTGGGTAATGCAAAAGTAGGCTGGGATGTATAATTTTGATTAGAAGAGATCAGCATTAAAAAGCAACAGTGCAAAGCAATAGAACAGGACATATAAAAACCAATGTGTACTGCATGTGGTAAGCTTGATGGACTACCTTGAAATCTACTTTATTATGCTATTCTAATTTTAAATTTCTTTTTTTTCTCCTACAGATTCTGTGTCATAAATACCTTATTGGTGTGTTGGCATATTTGACAGAACTGGCAATTTTTCAAGTTGAATGAGGCACCTAGTGGACTTCATGTTATGGGTTACATACTCTGTTTTCATTGGTTATTGCTGCAAGAGAAATGTGTGTCTGTTTCTGCCTCTCTCTCTTCATGGTGCCTTTGAAGTTGCTTGGATGGAAGCCAGGAAGGATCTAGAAGAGCAATGAATGTGGTCATGGGTGAGCCACAGCCATGTGTTCAAGGACCAGTTATGATGTCCTAGAGGGCTACTCTCTAGAAAATGTTGTTAACTTATTGTCATCATAATAAATGTCCACTACATTAAATTTTTAGGCATTAGCCAGATGTGGTGCACACCTGTAATCCCAGAATTTAGGAGACTGAGGCAGGAGGATCAGCTAGCATTCGGGGCCAGCTTGGACAGCATAGTGAGACCCTGTCTCTAAAAAACCAAAAAAGAAAAATAAATTTTTAGAATTCAAATGAGATGTATTTAATATTGAATAATTGTGACTGAGATCTTTAAAACCTTTAATCACTTTTAAGTACTTTAAACTTAAATTAACAGGTGATTTTTGTCTTCTAAAGACATTTTCCCTCCATTGTTTTACTATAGAGAATTGGCCATCAAAGTGCCCTACAAAAGAAGGTAAAGACAGGTAGAGTTGTGTGTCATGTTGCATGGCTGCAGTGCCAGCACTCTGGGAGGCTGAAGCAGGAAGAGGACAGGTTTGAGCCCAGCAGGGTAACTTAGTGAGACGCTCTCTCAAAAAGATAAGCCCAGCACAGTGGTGCATGCCTGCAATCTCAGCACTCAGGAGGCTGAGGCAGGAGGACCATCCCAAGTTCGAGGCCAGCCTGAATTACGTAGTGAGAACCATTCTCAAAAAAACAGACAAATGAAATTAAAAAAAAACCACAAAAAACCAAATGAGGTTTGAACATGTAGTTCAATGAGAATGCCCTGAGTTCATTCCCTAGTACCAGGAAATAAAATTAATAGACATCTTCTTAGCCATTAAATTGCTTCTATTACTACTGTTCAATTCTTATTACAATGTTGAATTAAATACTTTTAAAATGCAGTAGTGTGTCTGAGTGTCTTAATGCTGACTTTTAATTAGCATCTCAGTACTGGGAAATACTAGGTTTTTTTCTCTAGCTCAGGATACAAACCAACAATTATAGGATCATGCATATTGTAGTGTTGGATGGCATCTGTAAGCTCCTTTTGAGAGAAGTTATTTTGCTTAAGTTTTATACTTCTAGCTTAACTGCTTGGTAAATACCTGTAGATTAACTGAATTTAACAAACATTTTCATTTTACAGATGACAACTGATCAAGCAATCTGAGACTTGCCTTTGAGCTTCTATCTAAACGTCTTTTTACTCTCTAAGCATAGATTTTATTTTAGAAATAGTGTGTTTAAAGATACTGTTTTGAAAGAAACTAACTTTAATAAATTGTCGTTCTAAAAACAAAGATTAACCTCTGGAATATGATATTTCAGCTGTACCAAGAACAGCAACACTCGAGAAGGACATGTAGGTCGCAGAGCCAGACATGATGTGTTTGTAGGTGTACCGGGTAAGGATGGAGTAGTGACGAAGACAGAAGGCCCTGTCTTCTGAACTTATATTCTAGTGAAAGAAGGCAGAAGATGCATAACTTAAGACAGACAAATGTGGAACAGAAGGCAGTGCAATATGAAATGCTATGATAGGCTGGGGCTCTTTGGGGGGGGGTAACATCTGGGCTGGTCCTAAATGGTGAGCAGGAGCCAGCCCTGTGGAAGGGCATTTAAGGCTTGTGAAACAAGCTGAGGAAATGCCTTAGGAAAGGAAAGGGTTTTGCTAATTTTTTAAAAAATTTTTTGTACTGGGGCTGGAGAGATGGCTCAGTGGTCTAAAGCACCTACTTGAAACAAGCTTGGCAAAGCACAGGGACCTAGGTTCGATCCTCCAGCACCACATGCCAGCCAGCCCCGCCCCCTGGTGGGCTGAGCTGGCCACACACACACACACACACACACACACACACACACACACAATAAATAAATGTAATAAATAAAAATAAATAAATATTTAAAAAAGAATTTAAAAAAAAATTTTTTTTTGTACTGACAGTTGAACTCAGGACCTTGCACTTGCTAGGCAGGTGCTATACTGCTGAACTACGTCCCCAGTCCTAAGCTTGGTTAATTTGAGGAACAGAACAGTCTGTGGCTGTAGCATAGTGACAAAGGGTTCCTGGGATGATATGAGATGGAACTGACTTGGTTGTGTGCAATCTTCTGTGGCTATGTCACCCAGGTTTAGGCTGAGGTCCCTGGCTGCCTGGAACAAAGATGACATTTTTCATCTATTTCATCTCCAGTACTCAGGATGCTGAGTTGGGAGGATTTCAAGTTCAACGCCAGCCTGGACTATATAGCAAGACTCAAAAAACAACAGCTGATGTATGTGTGCTTTGCAACCCCTGCCCCCTTTTTTAAAGTTGCCTAGGGTAACCTTGAAGTTGGCCTCAGCCTCCTGAGTGCTGGGGTTACAGGTGAGCACCACTGTGCCTGCCTTCCTTGCCTCCTTATCCATCCCTGCATCCAAGATTGCGCCCTGTAACACAGATGTAATGACTGCTGCTCATGCTCAGTCACGGGGCTGCGGCTCAGGCTATAGGGATAACTGAGCATGGCCTCAAGGAGCTCGTGTGTGTCCTAGAGAATTTGTGAAGCTGAAACCAAGCCCTGAGACCCCAGCAGAACTTGTGTGGATGTGATATAGCTGCAAAATAAATCATGCAACGAGAAGGATTGAGGAAGATACCTACACTCCTATGGAGTAAGCTCCACAGTGTACAGAAAAGCAAATCACTTCAGTCATCTTATTATTAACGGTACTTTGTATGTTTTTTGAGATAGGAACTCTATGTGTAGTTTAGGCTTGCCTTGAACTCACTGGTAGCCCGGGCTAGCCTTCAACTTGGGCAAGTCTGCCTCAGTCTCCCGAGTACTGGGATCACAGGCATGCAGCACCACACTGGGCTTAGCTGGGACTTTGATTTGATTATGTTGAATCAGTTGATTTATTTTGGAAGTTTCATCCAATTATCTTCCAATCTGTGATGAGATGTCTTCTCATTTATCTAAATCCTTACTTTCAACAATTTTATGGCCCTCCATATAAAAGTGCTGCCCTTTTTTAAAAAAATTAAATTCCTAAGTATTCTCGTTGATAATATTGACGATGGAATTTTCTTTGTTTTATTTTTCACATTGTTACTTGTATATAGAAACCATTGGTTTTGTAGACTGCTCTTATATCCTGTGATTTTGCTGAAGTTCTTCTAATATTTTTTTCCACTCAATTTCTCAGAATTTTCTGTATACAAGGTTCATGTCTTCTGTGAATAAAGACAGTTTTACTTATTTTTCAACCTTTTATTTTTTAAAAAATATCTTCTTGGTTAAACAGATTAATGGACTTGGTCTGTGTATGTGCATAACCTACTTTAAATCATTTCCCTTATCACCTCCCTTGTTCTCTTCCCTGTAGTTTCACATTGGGGGGAGGGTTCAACTCATAGTGTATTTAATACATTTTTATTGCATTCATCTCCCCATTCCCTACTCTTACTCCCTCCACGTCCCCTATTATCTTCCTCTTGTCTAGTAATAGTCTCTCTTCTATTTTCTTATCATCTCTCTTAGATTCCACATATTAGGCAGAACATGCAACGCTGGAGTCTGGCTTATTTTGTGCAACACGATGGTCTTCAGATTGATCCATTTTCCTGCTTAAATAACATGACTTTGATCTTTATGGTGGGATAACACTCCATTGTGTATATATACCATATATATTTATTTATTTATTTATTTATTTTTTTTTTATCTGAATGCCTTCAGGACAGGTTTGGCTGGCTTGAATTGTGGGGATCGAACCACAGCAACCTGAGCCTGACTGCTTTGTTGAAGCAGTCACTTAAAGAACTGAGCTAAGGGGCAGGCCCTCCACCATATATATTTTTAATCCACCTTGATGGGGCACCTAGGTTGGTTCCAAATCTTGGATATTGTGAATTGTGCTGCAGTAAGCAGACATGCTTAAAATTTATTGCAGATATTCCTGTAGAATGCTGACTTCAACTCTTCTGAGTATACACCAAAGAGTGGTGTAGTTGGACCAAATGGTAGCTCTATTTTTATGTTTTGATGAGCCCCCATACTGATTTCCATAGTGGCTGTACTAATTTACATCCCCCCAGCAGTGTAGAAGTGTTCCTTGAACTCACTACATAGCCCATGCTGGTCTTGAACTCGAGGTGATCTTCCTGCTTCAGCCTCTCAAGTGCTGGGATTATGGGTATGTGTCATCATGCTTGGCTCAGTTTTGCTTATTTTGAAGAGTTTTATTTGTCCTGCAGTTTTGAAAGATTTTGCTTGCTGTGATACACTAGATAGGAAACTGTTTTTTCAGGGCTTGAAATAAATCATTTCATGCTTTTCCTAGCCCCTATGGTTTCTACAGAGATATCTGCAGCTACTCTGATAGATTTGCCTCTATAGGTGACTTACTGTTTTTCTGTTGTAGCTTTCAACATTGATTTCTTGTTCTGTACTCTTCCATCTTAACTATATTGTGACATAATGTGGTTCTTTCCTGGCCATACCTGTTTGGAGTTCTAACTGCCCCTTTACCTTGATATCTATAGCTTTCCCAAGATTGGGGAACTTTTTTTATTATTAATTTATGAAATAGTTTTTCTATACCATTAGTCTGTATAGCAGTGCCCTCTTCTATACCAGAAATGTGTAAATTTGGTCTTTTAACTGTCCCAGAGTTCTTAGCTCTTTTGTCCATAAAGTTTTGTTTTCTTTTTTCAGTATCTATGTATACTAATTTCTCAGCTATGTCTTCAAGCTCTGAAATTTTGCCTTTTATATGCTCATTTGTATTGGTGAGTCTTTTCCCTGAGGTTTTAATTTGATTTATTGTGCATTTTATTTCCAAGATTTCTATTTGGCTTTTCTCGAGAATCTCAATTTCTTTATTGAATTGCTCTTCAACATCCTGAGTTGTCTTCGTTATTCAGCTGTTTAT